TTTCTGTTGTATATAAGATTAGTACTGTTTTCAACTTGGTACGATGAAATAACCGCTACCAAGTACATACCGGAACGATGTATGTGTCCATAATGATAACCATTTTTTCATGGAACTGATCTTTAGACGAACTTTGGAAGACAAGTTCGTTGGATGTATTTAGGAATTTAAACTGATTTAATTACAAAATAATCAGTCAGGATATGATGAGGGGGAGTCGCATATTAGAAGGCAAATTAATCGCAAAAATATCAGAACAACACCAATTAAACTTTTGATAATTATATCAAGACTGAATTCAATGACAGATGCATTATGTTAATGTTATTAGGTGCGGAAAAAGGAAGACATTGGTTTGAACATCATTTTGATGGAAATCAAAGGAACTGCGTAAAGAATTACCTGAAACTCAGTTATAGTTGGTACAGACATGATTAATTCAAGCATCAGTAATCAGAGAAACTTTTATTTTCTTAAATTCAGGCTTTCCAATGTTTTATCATGCCTGTGGACCGCTAATGTGAAGTTCCCTAAAAAGAACTGACATACATTTATTCAGGTTCTCAGAGATTTGTGTGTGCTCCGATACACTGTTCGAAATTACACATTAGTTTTTGCTAGATATCTTCAACATGAAGTGGAAGGATTCATATTTAAAATGTATAATATAACTATGCTGTCAGTAATATGTATACAGGACACCGGGTAATATATAGCAAGAGGAAGAAAAATCAACTGACTGAAAATCGGACTGAAGGTTGAATACTCCTCCTTTATCGCTTTATTATAGTAAACATTCATGTAATTTATCATAAGGTTGCATAATTTGAACCAATATATACTACTATTATCAGTTTCAAACAGTAATAGTAGTCAAGAAAATGAATTGCTATGTAGAAATTGAAAGTTAGACAATATAAATTCACCGTTATACTTTTAAATTTATAATAGAACCACACCCAATGACAGAAGTAACCACATTTTATTTAATGAGTCATTAATATCGTAATTTGAGGGTGGAGTCAAATTAAATATTAGTTAGTATTGTCAATAATTCCAATTTGGGCATAGTAACACGGAAAAAATTGTGGGAGTGTGCTATACATTATTTGACAAACGTGTTCAATAGTTGAAATGGAATAAGAATTAAGATAATGCAAAAGACATGCTACTTTGTGAAAATCAATTTAAAGTATTCAGAAAATTTAAACTTAAGTTCACTCATTTGAAGAAAAACCCACGTCATTAAACCAATAAAATTGAATTTTCATACAAAGAAAATAAACTTTTGAATATTTGTTGGTAGGAATCGCAACATATTTAATGAGCACCATTTAACCATCAAACGAAAACTATGTTGACCAAAGATTTTATCACAGAAATATTAGAACTTCATAAAATTTTAAATTTTAACAATTATACACTAAACGATATCGTCAGATATTTCGTCATTTGCCTGTAAGAAAGTCTTAACCAACTGGTAGCATAGATATTCAAACATAATGGGTTAGAACAAGGACATAGGTTACAAATATTCTGATCATGTAAAGCGTTGAGAGTGATAGCTGACAGATTGCGATCCGAATATGGAAATGAATGAGCACCTATAACAAACATTTGGTTTTAAGAAACCATATTAGATAGGTGCTAAAAACTTATTACAGGCACGCCATCATGAGTTACCGAAACTTAGTTCATTTTTACCTGTTTCCATGTATATAAGTCTCAAGCTCGAGGTACCAGCGGTCCAGTGCAACAAAATATGGAAAGTCTTTAGGCGAAATTTCGCACCATTTCATCTACAACTACTGGAAACGAATAGTAGATCATATTGTCACTTGGAAATTGGTGTCCGTAGGTAACATGATATGTACTTTGCATCTTCTAAACTTAAAGTACCTCTACAAAAGTGATGTCTCCGCATGCGCTAGCTTTATGATGAGACACTAGAATTAGTGTACAAATTCGTATACTTTGGTAATTAGATGTGCTGGTGTTTGGGTGATATATAAGACCAATCTAGGTATGGTGAAAACCAGAACGACTCTCATCAATATAAGGCATCTATAGCACAAAAGAAAAGGTGATTAAGCGTACAGTGTGTCGGTTAGAGCACTTCTGCTCAGTGCTTGCAGAACGCGGTCCCCTCAAGTGAGGATCCTTGGAGGTAGTGTTCGAGCGTCATTGTACAAATGATTTCTGACACCCAGTGACAACACAATATCAATAATACTGAGATTCAATATGGTTAGCGTCACTCTCATGAAATTTCGACTCCGGTAGCTTGAACGACATCGCAGCCTCTCTCGGTCCAGTCAGTATTTCTCGATGCTGGAACTGGGTGGAAAACGCGGAGAGGTGACCAGTTTCTGACATGACTGCGTATTATGCATGGAAGGAAGCAGTGTAGAACTACTTCCTGTCGGTCTATTACGACCCCCCCCCCACACTTACAACCCAATCGCCTTAAACATGGTCAGATTAGAAGCCAGTGGTGATCCGGTTGTAGTTTTCTTCCGCATTCTTCACAAAAGTGAGAGGGACTACCTTATCTGAAATAAGTCTTTCTTGGTCGTATTTCCATTTGAACTGTATGTGCGACTACACACTATTCTTTTTCATTTTACTTTTTGTTTTTGATTGTACTCCCCCTTCTCTCCTTTATTTCTCAGTGCGATATCTATATTTGTGTAGTGTATACTACTTTTTTGGTGTGTAGTTGTATCAAAATGAACATATTAATCAGAAATAAACAGGATTTTGTAGTAACGATTTCCTCAGCAGTAAGGTTGAGATGTTATACGTTTTATCGAGTTCAATGGTTCAAATCAAAAGAGCACAAACTTCCAAATACGAACATAGTTCACGGATTGCGATCAGTGTATTAAAGCAATCATAGCTGATTTCAAATGTATAAAATACACGTTTTCCCCTAATAATATTATGGATGAACGGTGTAGTTTTATCTTAAGTAAACGAACACTAATTATCAATGACAAATTACTTTTTACATCAGATAAAAAATTACCTATAAAATAAACTGATACACAATCTGTGCAATTTTATGTTGTATGTAACTCATTCTTTACTCGCTCACTAGTGATTATTCACAAGACCAAAGTATCAAGAGAAAGGTTGATTCGGACTATGATTTCCGATATGTAAATGTGTTGACACAAGCTATTCACCATGTCTAAAACAACAATTTTCCTCAACAAATCGTACATTAAATTATCAAATGGGACTTCATAGAAACTTGATGAAGTGGTGTACACTTCAAAAGATGAACAGATTAAACAACAAATGCTTTGGTCAAACAATATAACTGGATATCAAGTATCATACAACTAGACCATCATGTCTTCACATTACTACATATGCAAGCATCTGGGAATAGAGCGGAAAATAGGCCGTTATACAGGATTTAAAGCATAAAACTAAGACAACTATAACAACTGCCTACTTCAATTCGAACAACTCTTTGATTTCCGTATTAACGTTCTGATGACATATCGCCGGTATACGCATCCATACTCATTGAACTATGTATTCCCGAAAATGGAGCTCGAAGACAATTTTCGAAGAAACCCATGAAAACCTGACCAGGACTTCGATCCATAAACTAACTATCCACCTATCGTCATGCTTTGGAACACTGAAGTACAAAAGGTCTCCCAAACACAACTGCATTTCCTGACCTTCATTCAATGTTCGACAGTCTGACTCGGAAGTGGTATAGTAACTCTTGAAATTTATCCATGTGAACCCTACTTCTCGAGCAAAACCTATTTACTTGAAGACATATTGGTACGAAGGGGCACCGAATACATATGCGCCAAACAAATCAAGTGACTTTCGTGTGGGCTGTGATAATTCCCAAATGTCCAGATTTAAGCAGGTGATTTTCTTAGGTGGCCACACCTGGAGCCTTCGACCTAATAGTCTGATTCACAAGGTTGTGGGGCAACGTCAGGAGATGCAGTCCCATTGTAGCTGGTGATCAATAATCGGTTCGTATACCATTTTTTCCTTCAGAATCCTAGCGCCCATGTGCATCATTGGTTTGGAATCAGGCTTTCCCAACTCCCCTAGGTGGTCCACACCATATCCACCAACCCGGTTAAGGCGCCAGGCACTGTTTTCGTCCTTTCAATTTCGTTAACACCCCCGTCACGAAAGTGCATTAAGTAGGACTTCGCAAGCAGTGGCCATGTGAGAGCATTTCGAGAGGGAGAGCTGACTCTCCCCACCATCGGCCGTACCACGGCATTCGGGGGCGCCAGGACGTATGTCGAACTCTCGTTGGAATCTACACCTTTTTTATGGTTATCCACTTTTATCTTACTGCATGATGGAAATTACTTCAAAGATGCTTTGTATGCATTTTCAGAATTGTTCATAGCTGTGAAATTCAATTATTGTCTTAGGATACGCAGATAACAAGGGTCCACTTGGTGTGGGAGCTAACGAAGTACGGGACCATCCGGGCAGTTATTCATGTTTGCAATCCTCTCCCAATAAATGCAAAATGCTGCCTCACGACTGATCTGCATCAATGTCTTAACTAATGAAACGTGGTCAAGTAATAAGGCGCGTCAACCACTTCACTTATCCGAGAAGTCTTATCGGGCCAGGTATTCAGTAACATGAATTTACTGACTGTTGAACTGAATCATGTGGGTAGGTTTAGTTTATCTAGTTAAGGTCCACGAGATTATTGTGACGTGGCTTAAAGTCGCACACGCATTCAATTCGTATACTCCCTCAGAACATGGATTTTAAAAGTCTAATACTTTTATCCCGAGAATACATTCATTCTCCTCGATTCATATTATCTATGCCTAAAATTTTCTACTACCACTCCTGTCATTGATTATACTTTTCTGTCATCTCCATGTCCATCTAATATGGTAGGCTAATTTGGACCAATCCACATATGTACCAGATTCTACGTTGCGTGTCGCTGACTTGAATTTTATTTCAAGTCTCCAGATTTTTCCGGCGAACATGAATAACAATGAAGAGACCAGGGAACACTGAACAAATAACTCTACAATTCCTTAAGTACATAATAATACAATTAGTATATTGCACCCTTAACACATTGTCACAGAAAGGCAAAATAACTAAGTGCTAACTTCAACACACAATACTTTTTTGTCACTGATAAATTAATAAATGACAGGAATAAAAAATAATGACAATAATCAGCGAACTGGTATGCTTGATCAAATTCCTGAGTGGACACTTTCTTGCATATATAGATAGGGATCTCCTCGTAAAGAGAAAAAATAAGTAGCCACTTGAGCATATCATCGAAGATAAGTAGGATATACTCGTCAAGCTGCTATAAGGAAAACAAACACGTAAATGGATAAAAAGTTTAAACTTTAAAGTGATTTACCTGGACAGAAATCAACATTGAAGTGAACAATAGTAATTATTGAAATACCGGAATAATAAGAGATAGAATAAGAAATTAATCAGATTTAAATGAACAGAAAGAATAGTTATAATCGAGAGAATATTTGAAGCCATAAATGAATCTCTGGAGATGCCTTAACGGATACACATATTATGTTTACAATTAATGACAATTAGACTATTACAGTCTGACGAGGTAGATGAACACATTACATGTTGATTAGAAAGGATAAACAAATTGAAATGACATTCCTGAATTTTACGCGTTATTAAACGCTTCTTCATTATTATATTTTTAGCACGATAGTAATAATAATTATTGAATAAAAGCATTAGGAAGTATATGTCAATCGTAAATGGGGGAATTAAGTTTAAAATCAACAGAGTACCCTTTAATATAAAACGTAATCTATCGCCTTGCCAATATGTATGCATTTGCACAAAAGAGGAAAGTAAAGAGAAGTAATACAACGAATACATTCGATGGAATTAAAAAAAAAATAATTTAAATAGAAGCAATATACATTAAACAACAAATCAGTTATAAGTAATCAAAGTTACATAGAAAAACACCTTATAAAAGTGAAAAATATCGACAAAATATGCCGAAAGCAAGTTTCAAAGAAATCAGAATATAAATAACTAAACCAAAAAACAATGAAAACAAGATGCAATTAACCTCGCAAAAAACAATTTAGAGAGAATCATCACATTGAAAGTGCTGATCAACAGATCCGGATACAAGTAACTGAGTATGTTTCGACGTAATATTTATTTTTGGACAGTTTGATAATCACTCCGAAATTGTTTTAAATGATGATAGACATCGAGTAAGAGACACATAAACAAACTGATAGGAAATTCTTTCCGAAATATATATTATTATGACTACTCATTTATGTATGAAGTGAATTAGTGGGAACAAAAATATATGTATATGAAAACCATTCCACAACTTGTTTTTAAAAATTAACTCATTATTGGAAATTGTATAGACGAAATTGCTACTCACGAAAAGGAGTTACGGATGTAATGCTGATGTTTTAGTTATAGAAATTAAAAAGTAAAGAAAGATGAAACACACGAAGTAAAAAAAACACAGGTGAACTTTCAAATGAGAATAATTTTTAATTTTGTGGAAAATTATTCAGGAAAGATGTCAGAAATATGAATGAGTCAAGGAAAGGAGAATGAACTTTGAATACTTATAAATATCATCGGAAAAAGTGTGGGTGAACAAATAAAGCATCAATGAAAAGTGTAGAAGGAAATTAAGAACAGGAAAAAAACACCTGAGTTAACGCACACAAGAGAATGGGTACTGGAAAAACGAAGTAGAAAGAGCAGAAGAATGGATTGTAAGAAAAATTGATGTGTGATAACAACAGAAAATGCCGGATTTGTTGATTTTATGTAAAAAAAAATGTTACTGTTACCTTTCATTTTATTAGGCTGTTTTTGGATTAACCAACATAAACAACAGCAGCACTAATACAACGAATGTACAACATTTAGTGATGATGTGAATAATCCAAAAAAGGAAATGTCAAAACCATTAGTACAAACAAGAAATTATTTAGAAAAGATGAATTCAAAATACAAAAATTATAAACATAAAGTGATCAAAGAATCAAAGAAAAACGAGCTTTTCCAGGTTAATCCATTGACTTTCATTTTAAAATTATGGCTTGCTATCAATGCAACCCACTATATTATTATTGCTGCTTTCTAAATTATCATCCATGTAATCTTAAATGTGTAAATGCCGGGGAATCGAAATCTCTACATATGTATATATAAGAGTTAGCGTGAAGGAAAATAGAATCAAGAAGTGTATTACAACCAAATACTATATAGCTGTTATAATAAGAAATCAATTCACCGATAATATGCGCATACACAGATGCATAGTAATAAACAGATGATATATATATATAATAACTTGTCAACCGGTGACGGAAAATGTTAATTAAGGACTGTCTCTTGTTTAGTAGTCAGCCTATAATAATAAGCTTGGTGATCACATACATTACACACGTATTTTAATAAGCATTAATGTGAAAATATAATAGGAGAAAGCTTTGCAAGAAAATAAATAAAAACGAGAGAATAAACGTCATATCCACACAGGTCGGCGAAATAATTAACAAAAGTTAAAAACAGAGTAGTTATTCGATTTTCGAGAAGCGTATTGATAAATAGATAAACAATGGTGGCAATAATCAAGAAAATCCAATAGGAAATAAACAAATAAATAAACGAAAAAACAGCATAAAAACAATACCCAAAGCAAAACAAAGGAGCTAAAAAAATATTACCTGACTTGACAAGAGAGAATATGGAAAAAACCCGGATTGGGATAAAGGTAGTAAGTAATATGAATGGCCCTGCCTTACGTTACACAAGCACAAAACAAACCAGTTTGTATAAATACCTGAATAGTGAATAACCGGTTCATATTATTCCAACTATTGGAGTATTTACTTCCATACAAAAAGTCACACACAAGCAACAAAATAGCTTGAACCGAGTTATCCAGTAGAATAAGGATGATAGGCGCTATTATATATATATACCTGAATGGTTACCAGTTAGGCAAGAGAAAGCACATGCTACAAGTTATTCTGTTTACATGTACTAACTTGGAAAGACAACTGGTTATGAACTGGCAAATTAAGTCGACATACGGTTTCAATTATGATATCAGTAACAGAGATGGAGTTCAGAGCCGAACACTACAAAAACAGAAATACAGAAGGTGGTATCATCCTTGGTAAAAAAAAGACGACCAGTGAGTTAATAAAATAAGAATGTTCTGAATAAGTTATCTTAAGGTAATACAATAAGAAAGAACGGGATTAATAAAAATCCATAACAGATAAATTTCGAGGTTTATTCAAGCTGCCTTCAAATTTCGTTGGAAAATATACATATGCATATAACATTAAGTAACGACTATTCAATATGAATTTTAAGTAATCAAATAGATGAAATGTTCTTCTTAGAAATATGCCTGAACAAATTAAATTAATTCATTAATTCGTATGCGTATCAAAAACTAGAAGTTATTGGGTTACTACTATTTGACGTTGTAGCAGTACTTCCTACAATTCGATCAGCTAATTCTAGACTTAATTCTAATTCCAGTGGTTCACAATCATCATCGTAAGATGAATAAGGTTCAACATAATGTCGTAAATCCCTGTATGTACGATCAGTAGATCGAGACTGTACTGAGTTTGAAGTAAAAGCTGATGATGGTGACGATGATTGCTGTGTTGTATAATTTGTTACAGAAGAACGATCAGCTCGTCCTAAATTACACAACTGCTCAGACATCAGATTTCCACTTTGGCTAACTTGTTTCGTTTGAGTTTGTTGTTGCAGGAACGATGACTCAATATTATGATCAGACATACCGAATAGCGTCGTTTGAGGAAAATACATAAGATCAGGTGGTGTTACTGGACCTAATGATCTACTCGTATTCTCAATACCACCATGCCCTGAACAGGATGTGGATAAAGATATAATTGGATCTCCTCGTTGTAAGCTATGTGAATCACTTAACAAACGCATATCTAAACCAAGTGAATGACGCCAAGAACCGGAAGATGAACCAACAGAATTCGTTATGGATGGTGATAGAGATGTAGTTGAATTACCGGAACAATTTAAAAATGGAAGTTTTCCATCATTTGTTGGATGCATTAAATGTGAATTATCATAAAATGAAGATGTGAAATGATTTACTGGTGTTGATGATTGTAAAGTAGATGATTGAGATATAAAATTCGTTGTATTATGAGGTATTGGATAGAATGAACTTGCAACTGATGAATGCAAATTAGAACGATAAGCTTGCCAATGAGATTGAGCTGCTGCCGCCGCCGCAGCAGCAGTAGCTGTAGAGGAACCATGATGATCTGTCAACAGAGGTACAGGTAATAAATGGTGAGCAGCAGCAACTGACGATGATACACGAGATGAATTAATATGATTAAACAGAGCACTTGGATGAAAAGACTGCTGTCTAATAATTTCTAATTGAGGTGTTGTATCCATTATATTAGAAAGATAATCTGTTTCCATTTGTTGTAATGAAGTACATAAGTTCGAATTATTCCCTGTAAAAGATGATTTACCTGAGTGACAGGGAAGAAATGAATTGCTTGGAAAATGATCCGATGATAAGCGATCAATGGTATGCATTGATGAAGAAATACTATTTGCTCCAACATTTTGATCATTACGCAACAGTTGTTCAATTAATCCACTTGTTCGACTATCATAAAAATTACAGAATAAATATTTAAATTAAATAACAGTGTATCTGAGACTAGAAAAAGTAATTATTAATGTTTTTTGATAAAAAACGAATATTTCACAGTTCAGATTGAAAATAAAAATATGTGCACAAATAAATCTTGTCTTATGTCATTTTAACGAGAGGTAAAGAAAATTAAACCCACTAATTTCTAGAGACGATAATCGACATGGAATACATATTTTCCAACAAACAAATACCGACACATCTATAAGTCAGATAAGTTTAACGATTATATATATATATATATATATATATATATATATATATATATATATAGGCAAACTTGTTAAAGCATATATGCTTGGTTGATAACAATAACTTTGAATATAGTAGTTAGATAAGTTTAGCAATGAACAATACCACAGGCCGAAAAATTATGAAAAGTCATTTAACAAGTGCAATCGGTTATGAGCAAAACTGATTTTGGTATAGCTAATGACAGGACTTAGCTGCTTAAGTCGAAGTAGAAGCAGTGCGGTTCAACACTGAAACTGCATGGCTGAAAGTTAATTTACAACAGCGCTGATTTTCATGCAACTGAATAACGAGGTAGAATTACAGGTATATGGTTTTAATTAATATATTTGTGTGAAGGTTGACGATATTACCAAAGTAGAAACAAGACTCGGACTTTATTGATATTTCAACTACTCAGGAAAATAACACTGTTGATCATTTAGATAACCTAATTTCAAAACCATAAAGCTTTGAATATTTCCTCAACCAGTTACAACTTATACACGTTGTAAGTCATACAAAATATCCCTGTGAATTCTGGGCTTTATAGTCACATCAACTATTCTGATATAAACTATGGATGAAATTCGAAACATTTATAAATAAAAAATAACGCTTTGTAATTTCATTAAAATCTATGCAGTAAATTGAAGTAGACTACTGACTACTTACGGAACAGCAGAAAGCAATACCATATAATCACTAAGACAAAAACAGGTAGAAAACATAATCTCTTAAGCCAATGAACATAACCCAGACCATAACGTCTACAAAGTGTAAAACTCTATTAAACTGAAATCCTTCAGTTACCTATTTATCAAAAGACAGACAATTAAAAAGTTTTAATTTTTTATCTAATATTTTCTATACAACTACTCTGATAATTAATTGTTTTACTTTTTAATAGCAGTTAAAATTGAGGTTTGCATCGAAAGTGGTTATCTATAAGATGTAAGAACAAGAAGAACGCTGTTAAAGAGTCTAGTAAAAAAAATGGTTGTGACCAGATGAAGTTAAAAATAAAGAAGCACAGGACAACAGGGGGAACAGCATTACGAAGGTTCAATACAGCCTTCCTTCGAGACACTGACAAACTCAACGAATTAAATATAGCTCTCAACAACAGATTACAAGCCATACATAATCTACTCAAAGAAGATGAATCCACTATGAAGAACTACTGGAATAAATCAGAGAAGTAATAACTTCAGTATGTCACGAGGTTCTGGGCCCAACAAGCATCATCATAATGAGTGGATCTCGATCGAATCCATGGACGGCGTTCAAGAAATGAAGAACGAGAATACAGCAATCGACCACAGGAGAACAAGAGCAGAAAACGTCGAGGCACAAACTGAATACACAGAAACAAATAAGCAACTGAAGAAAAGCATTAGAGCCGACAAGCAGAAATGCGTGCAAGACCTGGAAACGACAACAGACAGAATCGCAGGAGAAGCAAATCTGAGACAACCATATGATATAACGAAGAAACTAACAGGGAAATATTGTAAACCAGAGTGACCGGTCAAGGACAAAGAAGGCAAATCAGTCACTGGAAGTTAAAAACAGTGGAACAGGTGAGTACAGTACTTTGAATAACTCTTGAATAGGTCAGCTACATTGAATCCATCGGACATCGAAACAACACACACAGACCTTCCCACACACATGGTCACCAGACAAATCAAAATTGGGAAAGCAGTAGGACCAGACAATATATGAGCTGAAGCACCGAAGTCAGACACAAAATCAACTACAAACATGCTCCACGTTCTAGTCACGGAGATTTGGAAGGAGGAACAAGTGCCGACAGACTGGAAACAAGGAAATCTCATCAAGATACAAAAGAAAGGAAATCTGAGCAGATTTGAAAACCTTAGTGGCATCACACTACTACCAGTACCAGGAAACGTTTCCAACAAAGTGTTGTCGAACCGGATGAGAGATTCAGTAGACTCCCAACATCAAGATCAACAGTACAGATCTCGTAAGGATCGGTCGTGCACGGACCAAATCGCGACATTACGAATAACTGTTGGGCAACCAATTAAATGGAATTCGTCACTATACATCAGCTTCCTTGACAATGAGAAGGCGCTCGTCAGCGTCGATAGGAGAACCCTATGAAATCATCCTCGATACTGTGGTTTACCTGAGATCGTCAACATAATCCAGAATTCATACGACGGACTACACTGCAAAGTCGTGTATGTAGGACAGCTGACAGACGCATTCGATGCGGGGGCCAGTTTCAGACAAAACTGTTTATTCTGGTGGTTGACTGGATTGTGAAGACCTCCACATCTGAGGGGAAGCACGGAATACTATGGATAGCTTGCATGCAACCAGACGATTTGGAATTGGCAGATCACCTGGCTCTTCTATCCCACACACACCAACAAATGCAGGTCAATACAACCAGTTTAGCAACAGCTTGTGCAGCAGTGGGCCTCAACATACACAAGAGGAAAACCAAGATCCTCAAATACAACACGGAGAACACCAACACACTTGATGAAGGAACTCTGGACGAGGTGGAGACTCACGTACCTGGACAGCATTATCGATGAACAAGGAGGATCTGATGCAGACGTAACGGTGAGGATTGGCAAAGTAAGGGCCGTATTACTACAGTTGAAGAACATATGGAACTCGAAACAACTATCAACCAACACCAAAGTGAGAATCTTCAATACGAACGCCAAGACAGTTCTACTGTACGAAAATGAAACTTTGGGAACTACAACAACCAACATCAAAAAAGTATACGTATTTCTAAACAATTGTATTCGCAAGACACGCAGTGTTCGTTGACCAGATTCTATCAGCAACCTAATATGGGAGAGAACAGGCCAACTTCTAGCTAAAGAAAATTAGGAAAATACGTTCGAGGTGGGTAGGAATCACCAAGTTGCATCATGAAGCAAGCGCTAACTTGGAATCCTGAAAGGAAACGGAAAAGAGGAAGACCAAGGAACACATTGGGCCGAGAATCGGAAGCAGATGTCAGAAGGGTGAATAGCAACTGGAAAAAACTGTCCAGAACAGAGTAGGACGTAGAATCCATATCGTTATCCTAAGCTTCACGAGGAATAACAGACGTAGATAAGTAAGCATCATCTATCGACCAACTCTAGTACGTTTAAAACTACCATCTATCGCTATATTATTATGCATTAAGGGTGCTAGATTTTACTGGTGGCGGTCAGATTATTGAGACTATACAGGCTTACTTATACGCATCCGAGAATGATAATTTTTCTAGACTTGAAAGCAGCATTTGACTCCGTAGACCGAGAGGTTCCATGGCAATATCTGTCATTGAAAGATGTACCTTAGATGTACATAAACATTGTGAAGGCCCTTTACTCGAACACTACCAGTCGAGTTAGAGCTTATGGCGAACTGTCATCTGATTTCGCAATGTCAAGTGCTGTACTGCAAGGCTGTCTTCTACCTCCATTTTTGTTCAACCTCAACATAGACCTACTGATGGAAATACCTTTCTCGTCGACTGAATTCTCGGGTATTGATCTCTTACCAAGAGGCACACTTATCGACGTAGATGATATAGACCTGTTTGATGAAGACGCTGATAAAATTCAGTCTTTTGGTAGCACTAAGCAACAATGCCAGAATGTTTGGAATGTGATATTCTCCCTCTAAATGCAAGTTGTTGCTTCAGGACTGGTTTTCGTCAATATCTGAACTAAGGATAGGGAGTGAAGTAGTCGAGAGCGTTGACAACTTCACTTATCTTGGAAGTCTAATCAGCCCAATGAGTTAGTGTTTAACGAAATCTCAGCACGTATTTTAAAAGCTCGTTTGGCTTTTGCCAACTTACGTCACCTATGGCGAAGGCGAGATATCCCATCTGTTAATTGAAGGACGATTATACTGCGTGGCAATTCATTCTGTTCTACTTAACGGCTACGAAACGTGGCCATTAAGAGTAGAAGATACTCGTAAGCTACTAGTATTCGATCAGAGATGCCTTAGAAATTTTGCTCGCATCTGCTGGGATCACCGGGTAATTAATAGTGAGGTTAGACGCAGGGTATCAGGGAATGATGGTAAATCAGTTGGTGAGGTTGTGAATCTTTAACAACTGAGATGGTTGGGTCACGTGTTGCGTATGCCTGAACACCGATTACCATGAAGCGCAATGCTGACTGGTGTTGGGGATGTTTGGAAGAAAGTTAGGGGAGGCCAAATCAAAACTTGGCATCAGTCCTTGAAATCACTAGCTTCTAGTCTGAACCATGTTGGTAGATGGAGACTACTTTGGTTGAGGTGACTATTGTAATGTATGTGGTTGGAAACTCTGTGACATGACTCAGAACCGATCACAATGGCGCAGGTGTATACACTCTGTCTTCTCTTAAACTGTGAAATGAAAATTGCTTTATATCTTTATTTCTACCAACAATTATTTTCTTCCTGTACTATATCCTTATACATAATCTTTATTTTATACATTACTACCATTGAAGTAACTACTTCTATGAATTCGGTGTTCACCTTGTTGTGCTAATCGGGTGTAACAACTTGGAACGATGCATATACGTGCCTGGTCCTACGTTGTGGCTGACCGACTGACCTACACGTTAACTTATTTGACCTTCATGAATAAATACGGTAAAGTATTTGTATTGGTTACGTGTCAAACGGAATGCGCTCCAGTTTCATGAATAATAAAGTAATGAATATTGATAACAGAAAAAAATCTAGTTCATCTAATTAACCAACATAAATGGGAGTTTTGTGGACAACTGTTGCGTTTGCGTGACGATGGACCATCTATATTCGTGAAAAATTATTAGAATGCCACATTACAACTTTTTAGTCAACTACTAAAAATTTCTGATAAACTACTCAAATACTTAATTATTACAAGTTCGAAAAGCGAAGATTTGTCCACATCCACTAAACCCCCTGTTTTAATGTTTGAGCAGAAAATCGAACCTGATTTTTTCAATCAGTTTCATTTCTGCTACAAAATTTAAAGAACTGGAGAGATGAGTAAATGAATTCCTCGAGGATAGAAATACCGAACCTTTTGATACAAAAGAAAAAATAGCGAAACCGCTTAAATAAAAACCCTTGCCCTGGCTTTAAGTGCTGACCAGTTTACAGCCAGTATAGTACGTTTTAGACAGACATGGGGATTTCCATATCATATACTAAATTCAATACTACTACTACTACTACCACTACTACTACTACTTATCCTCAGTAATTTTTGGGAAATTTAGTTTACAGTTGCAACAATGAATAGGAGATTTTGGTAACACTTATACAATGAGGAAAATATACAGTTTTTTGCTGTTGTCATCCGTGCTAGAATAACTACAGAAGTTTTCACGAACAATCATAAAAAAAAACACAAAAGTTTCAACAAAACATAGCATTGATGAGAATTACCATCGACTTGGTGGTTGGTCAGTAGAATATGACAGACCAGAGAATCCAGAGTTGAATATCCCATTGGGAGGATTCGAACTGTATACTTGAGGATTCGATAAATGCGTTAAAGTTTTTGCATTCTGCCAGTGAATATTGATACAAGTCGGTATTGAATTATTGTTGTTAGTAGTATTTGCTTGTTGTGAACAATGATAAAAATTCATAGATTTAGTTGTGTTACAAGTGTCAACAGATGGAGATGATGAAGTCAAACAATTTAGAACATTTGCTTCGTTGTAATCCTTACTGCATTCGGTACTTGAACGACTGTCAGTAACTTTAGTAGATGAATAGTTCATATCCACTGGATACTGTAGCTCACAAACAGGTGATAAAGAAGGTTTGGTAATGTCGCTATCGGCTGAAGGCACATGAATGCGATGACCAGGATGACTGGATACGGTTCGGTGAGAAACACCACCACCTGATCGGTTATTTATTTTCCCATAATTGCCAGATCCGGGTCTCTTTAAATTGGTAGTATCCATAGAACAAGCCCGTCGACGCACATATGGCTTGGCGGCTACGTCTGGATTAATTCTCCAATATGATGACTTTGTATTGTCTGATGATTTTGGACATTTCGTAAATCGATCATGTAATGACAGGTTGTGACGGATTGAATTCTATCAATAAAAAAAGTGCTTCATTTTTGTATCAGCATATATGTAAATGCCTAAAATATCCTGCTATCTCAAACATAGGAAAAGCAATAATAACACAGCATATCATACACTACGATGGAACAAGGAAGTAAAAGAAATAATTAAATCAGTGAAAGTAGAGTACTATGTAAATAAGCCTCAGATTTCATTTGTCAATCTCTTATTACTGATTGCTAATAAAGACTCACCGACTGCTAAATTACTTATACTAATACTACTATTCAATCTTAGGAGACATTACTACTCCAAATGAAGTACATAATAAAAACCTATATTCTTTTGTGTATGATGTACATCATCATGCTCTCATTTGCCAATATTATTAAGTTCATAGTTTTCGGAAGCCGTCCCAACAATTATCCGATGACAAAAGTGAAGTAATCATAATGATATAAAAATCGCATGCACTGTGTTCGAGCGTCGTTGTACAAATGATTTCTGACACCCAGTGACAACACAATATCAATAATACTGAGATTCAATATGGTTAGCGTCACTCTCATGAAATTTCGACTCCGGTAGCTTGAACGACATCGCAGCCTCTCTCGGTCCAGTCAGTATTTCTCGATGCTGGAACTGGGTGGAAAACGCGGAGAGGTGACCAGTTTCTGACATGACTGCGTATTATGCATGGAAGGAAGCAGTGTAGAACTACTTCCTGTCGGTCTATTACGACCCCCCCCCACACTTACAACCCAATCGCCTTAAACATGGTCAGATTAGAAGCCAGTGGTGATCCGGTTGTAGTTTTCTTCCGCATTCTTCACAAAAGTGAGAGGGACTACCTTATCTGAAATAAGTCTTTCTTGGTCGTATTTCCATTTGAACTGTATGTGCGACTACACACTATTCTTTTTCATTTTACTTTTTGTTTTTGATTGTACTCCCCCTTCTCTCCTTTATTTCTCAGTGCGATATCTATATTTGTGTAGTGTATACTACTTTTTTGGTGTGTAGTTGTATCAAAATGAACATATTAATCAGAAATAAACAGGATTTTGTAGTAACGATTTCCTCAGCAGTAAGGTTGAGATGTTATACGTTTTATCGAGTTCAATGGTTCAAATCAAAAGAGCACAAACTTCCAAATACGAACATAGTTCACGGATTGCGATCAGTGTATTAAAGCAATCATAGCTGATTTCAAATGTATAAAATACACGTTTTCCCCTAATAATATTATGGATGAACGGTGTAGTTTTATCTTAAGTAAACGAACACTAATTATCAATGACAAATTACTTTTTACATCAGATAAAAAATTACCTATAAAATAAACTGATACACAATCTGTGCAATTTTATGTTGTATGTAACTCATTCTTTACTCGCTCACTAGTGATTATTCACAAGACCAAAGTATCAAGAGAAAGGTTGATTCGGACTATGATTTCCGATATGTAAATGTGTTGACACAAGCTATTCACCATGTCTAAAACAACAATTTTCCTCAACAAATCGTACATTAAATTATCAAATGGGACTTCATAGAAACTTGATGAAGTGGTGTACACTTCAAAAGATGAACAGATTAAACAACAAATGCTTTGGTCAAACAATATAACTGGATATCAAGTATCATACAACTAGACCATCATGTCTTCACATTACTACATATGCAAGCATCTGGGAATAGAGCGGAAAATAGGCCGTTATACAGGATTTAAAGCATAAAACTAAGACAACTATAACAACTGCCTACTTCAATTCGAACAACTCTTTGATTTCCGTATTAACGTTCTGATGACATATCGCCGGTATACGCATCCATACTCATTGAACTATGTATTCCCGAAAATGGAGCTCGAAGACAATTTTCGAAGAAACCCATGAAAACCTGACCAGGACTTCGATCCATAAACTAACTATCCACCTATCGTCATGCTTTGGAACACTGAAGTACAAAAGGTCTCCCAAACACAACTGCATTTCCTGACCTTCATTCAATGTTCGACAGTCTGACTCGGAAGTGGTATAGTAACTCTTGAAATTTATCCATGTGAACCCTACTTCTCGAGCAAAACCTATTTACTTGAAGACATATTGGTACGAAGGGGCACCGAATACATATGCGCCAAACAAATCAAGTGACTTTCGTGTGGGCTGTGATAATTCCCAAATGTCCAGATTTAAGCAGGTGATTTTCTTAGGTGGCCACACCTGGAGCCTTCGACCTAATAGTCTGATTCACAAGGTTGTGGGGCAACGTCAGGAGATGCAGTCCCATTGTAGCTGGTGATCAATAATCGGTTCGTATACCATTTTTTCCTTCAGAATCCTAGCGCCCATGTGCATCATTGGTTTGGAATCAGGCTTTCCCAACTCCCCTAGGTGGTCCACACCATATCCACCAACCCGGTTAAGGCGCCAGGCACTGTTTTCGTCCTTTCAATTTCGTTAACACCCCCGTCACGAAAGTGCATTAAGTAGGACTTCGCAAGCAGTGGCCATGTGAGAGCATTTCGAGAGGGAGAGCTGACTCTCCCCACCATCGGCCGTACCACGGCATTCGGGGGCGCCAGGACGTATGTCGAACTCTCGTTGGAATCTACACCTTTTTTATGGTTATCCACTTTTATCTTACTGCATGATGGAAATTACTTCAAAGATGCTTTGTATGCATTTTCAGAATTGTTCATAGCTGTGAAATTCAATTATTGTCTTAGGATACGCAGATAACAAGGGTCCACTTGGTGTGGGAGCTAACGAAGTACGGGACCATCCGGGCAGTTATTCATGTTTGCAATCCTCTCCCAATAAATGCAAAATGCTGCCTCACGACTGATCTGCATCAATGTCTTAACTAATGAAACGTGGTCAAGTAATAAGGCGCGTCAACCACTTCACTTATCCGAGAAGTCTTATCGGGCCAGGTATTCAGTAACATGAATTTACTGACTGTTGAACTGAATCATGTGGGTAGGTTTAGTTTATCTAGTTAAGGTCCACGAGATTATTGTGACGTGGCTTAAAGTCGCACACGCATTCAATTCGTATACTCCCTCAGAACATGGATTTTAAAAGTCTAATACTTTTATCCCGAGAATACATTCATTCTCCTCGATTCATATTATCTATGCCTAAAATTTTCTACTACCACTCCTGTCATTGATTATACTTTTCTGTCATCTCCATGTCCATCTAATATGGTAGGCTAATTTGGACCAATCCACATATGTACCAGATTCTACGTTGCGTGTCGCTGACTTGAATTTTATTTCAAGTCTCCAGATTTTTCCGGCGAACATGAATAACAATGAAGAGACCAGGGAACACTGAACAAATAACTCTACAATTCCTTAAGTACATAATAATACAATTAGTATATTGCACCCTTAACACATTGTCACAGAAAGGCAAAATAACTAAGTGCTAACTTCAACACACAATACTTTTTTGTCACTGATAAATTAATAAATGACAGGAATAAAAAATAATGACAATAATCAGCGAACTGGTATGCTTGATCAAATTCCTGAGTGGACACTTTCTTGCATATATAGATAGGGATCTCCTCGTAAAGAGAAAAAATAAGTAGCCACTTCAGCTCGAAGACAATTTTCGAAGAAACCCATGAAAACCTGACCAGGATATGCATTTATAACACGTAGTTCTTAGGCTACTGTTAACCTCAGATTTCTCACTGCATGGAGCCAATTTGTAATTGCTGTTCTCCGGGTTTCTGAAAGACACTACTGTTTTGTCTTCTCTACTATATTCTGGTGATGTTTACCAAGAATGTGGGCCGCTCACAATGTGGATAAAGATGAGCACAAATTCCTTCATTATAAAAAAATTGTTGAGAATTAGTATACTAAGCTTACGACTTTACTGATTTATTCTCCATGGTCAAGTTATCGACCATAATACACACATCCATTAGTTATGCACCCGAAATGAAGTATATTTTGCATATTCTTTCCATAAAAGAAAATGAAAATTGTGATATTTGTTTCAGAAATGGAGGTTCCTTAATCGCCTTTCATTGTTTTATTTATCTGATGTCACAATTCCAATACCCTAATGGGGAGATGTGCTGATCCTTGTGGCATAAAATAGCTACTACAACAATGCTAGTACATAATTTGAAACCTAATATTTTTATTGGTGAGATTGTATATAACTGGACTGAGACAAAACATCATTTTTACAAATAACATGTGTACATTCTCCATGTGGAATTTACAAACGAAACATTTATTGGATTAACAAAAATAGATAAATGGACATAGACATACACACACGACCGTATATATATATATATATATATATATATATATATATATATATATATATATATATATATATATATATATATATATATATATATATATATATATAACGTGGATGTTAAAGATGTGTAAGGGTAGACAGTATATATGACCTTCAAAAATCAAGGCTAAGAGAGTTGGTCGATGAATACATGATCTAAACGGGACAAAATATGTACTTTTAGATTTTGGTAGAATGGCACGTGGTGACCAGTATCACCAAAGGACAGTAGACTGATCGTATCAATATCAATAAATAAGCAAAACAAAAATTAAAGTAGTACTTAACTGGGTATATGTTGACAGCGCGCAAACTACGGAAAATATTTATGCTGAAGGTTTTTAAAAAACCAAACTGACCAATAATGCGAAAATAACAAGATTTAGAAAATCACTACACAGGATATTTTGCTTTTATTAATCTGTCAAGTATACACTCATATACCTGGCTTGGGAGCACTTTATGTATAGGGATAAATGCTTGTATTCTAGCTACCTGAACAAAAATATATAGAGGAGTTCGTAGCTGTAATTCACTAGTTGGGAAAGTGAGATTCTTTGACATGACCTGACTACTTCTTTCCATCAAAGAATAGTTAGATGGAATAATAGAGGGTAGGAATCAAGTTTTAGGAACATGGGAAGTTCAAAAATACACCCAACTTCTCTTAGTTCTGTAGATTAGGTACAA